GGTTCGCGTACAAGGGGAATCACTTCCAATACAGGGCACTTCCCTTTGGCCTCTCATCAGCTCCGAGAGTATTCACCAAAGTCTTGGCGGTCCTGGCAGCACACTTACGATTGATACCAATAAGAGTCCACTGTTATCTGGACGACATTTTGATTCAGTCTTCGTCCGTCCAGGCAGCATTGACGGACCTCAAACTGGTGATAAAATTGCTCCAGGACCACGGATTTTCGGTGAATTTTCCAAAGAGCCACTTGATCCCCACAACGAGGCTCTTACATCTGGGGGCGGTCATAGACACCCTGGAATGCCGGGTGTATCTCTCACAAGATCGCAGGGACAGCATAAGGGAGTCAATCCTTCGACTTCGCAACAGTCGGTCGGCGACATTGGTCAGTCTCTCCCAGTTGTTGGGGCAGATGATTTCTGCTATTGCGATAGTACCCTGGTCGAGGCTCCACACCAGAGAGCTGCAAAGGTTCATGCTTCCTTTTCAGAGGCGGAACCTCAGTGCTTCGCTCAACAGAGTGGTCCTCCCTCACCACGTGCTACGTTCCCTCGGTTGGTGGCTGTCACCAGCCGTCCGCAGAGGGTTGTGTTTCAAAGAGCCGGACAGGATTGTCCTCACAACCGACGCCAGCCTGTTCGGTTGGGGGGCTCACATTCAGTCTCACTGGGTGCAGGGCCGTTGGTCCGCATCAGATCTACGCCACAATATAAATTGGCTAGAGTTGAGGGCCATCCATCTAGCTCTCCATCACTTTCGCCACCTAGTATCACGGCGACACATCCTAGTCCTCACGGACAATGTAGCAGCCAAGGCACACATAAATCGCCAAGGGGGAACTCGGTCTCAGAGCCTGATGTCCGAAGCTCTTTCGCTGGGTCTATGGGCAGAACGCAATCTAGCGTCTATCATGGCAGACCATATCTCGGGGGTAGCAAACACACAGGCCGATCTTCTGAGCAGATCGACGATAGATCACGCGGAGTGGAGGCTCCATCCGAGGGTCTTCCAGGAGATTTGCTTCCGTTTTGGTCTTCCTCTAGTGGACCTCTTCGCGTCCCAGCACAA